AGGGGACGGTGATCACTGCTAATACGTCATACCTGACGCGCATGTTGAGCCGAAGCAGCAGCTACGCGGGACAAACGACGTGTTCCAGCAATATCGTGTATCCCGTCGTGTCACTCACTTATGCGTAAGTGTCACTCTCCAGTGACACTTACGTATGGGTAGTCATTACAGAGAGTGAGTTCACTACCTAATCTAGAATAGGATGTGTCCTGTAGTCACTAATAGCCATAACATCATATTAGGAAGATCTTTTAACAAGTATGAATTTTGGTCAGCGATTGAACCTATTCAGCGCCGTTTTCTCTGCTATAATATGGCAAATACAAATTGATTACTCTCAGATACACCCCAATGGTAATGTTGATGCATTTCAACCTTGCGTAAGATGTTTCTACATGCGTTGTCCTGCATACTAACCTCTCTCTGTAAAGCAAAGCAGGTTTCTATGGTTCTGGAATCGCACCTGACGTCAGAGAGAGAGAGAGAGAGAGAGAGAGAGAGAGAGAGAGAGAGAGAGAGAGAGAGAGAGAGAGAGAGAGAGAGAGAGAGGCTAAGTAGGTACAGACATTAATCGAAAAGCAAGTTGGATGCAGCAGATACTAAATAGAATTGCATTTATTTAACTTTAAATATTTTTCCTCTTAAAAAAAGTAAATATTGTTTCCTACACCTTTTAAATTATATTCAAAATATGCTAAATCGAATGCACCTTGCCTAGTAGCGTTGATTAATATTCAGTAGATCAGACCACAAACAGCATTATAGGTCGTCAGTCATAGTTTGATCCAACTTGTCTGATCATGCCAATTATACACGTTAAAAGAGGAAATCAGCGGCAATATTGGTATAAAGATTGGTCCGACTTCATCGTTAGGATGTAAAAAGCAATGGATTCAAGAATGTTTTTAAGTGTAACATTTTTGAGACATGAATATCGGCCTGGGATATGATTAATAGACAGTCCGTAACGCTACCTCCGGCGACCTGTCAAATTTTGCAAATTTTGATATGATTTTAAGGGATCACTCCATTTGACTCTTACAAGTCATGAGCACAAACAACCCATTAAGCAGTTGGGCAATTTGTCATTCATAAATTCCAAAGGAAGCCGCGCAGGGACTATGAATCACGAGAGCAAACCTTACGACTAATATTAACAGGTAAAATATAATTGTGAAATATAATTCATATTTTACTTTCTCGAAACAATGTGTTTTATATTTATAAATTGAACGAATATACTGTATACCTTTACAGTTTTTGTCATATTACATGACTAAACGTTGTCATCGAAGTTTTGCTATCGTGATTGTGCTTAAACTGCCAGTTATACCAGTTCCAATTATTCTTTTGTAATGTTTCCAAATTTTTAAACATAGTTTAATGGGTTCGTTAGTTCAAAGTTTATAGTTCAAAGGGTTTGTTACAAACAAGAACATTTCATATTTAGAATACTGGACACTATGCAACTTAGGGTGTACCAGTAGGAACTGTAGGGAACTGTACCTTCATATTATAGGTACATAAAAACACATACATTATATATAAGCATACGCACACACATATATGTATTCATATACATATGTGTGTATGTGTGTGTGGACACACATATATGCATATATGTATTCATATATAAGTATTTATACATGTCACACACACACACACACACACACACACACACACACACACACACACACACATATATATATATATATATATACATATATATAATATATATATAATATATATATATATATATATATATATATATATATATATATATATACATGCCTTCATGCATATACATTTATTTTTATGTGACATAATATTTCACATAAAAATAAGTGTTTATATGAATAAAATGATTATATACATATACATATATATTCATTTTATGAATATATATTATATATATATATATATATATATATATATATATATATATATATATATATATATAACAAATAAGATTAGTAAAATATCTACGAATCGGAAAAGGAACATTTCAGTTTACCACAATGTATCAACATTTTACCGTAATTATCCACATAACACACCCATAACGCAAATTATTACGCATAGGAATGTTATTTCATGCAAGCAATCACAGAGTATCATGATTATTCCGTCTTTAAATGGTGAAAAAAGAAGAATGCTTTTTGACACAAAAGATTTTCTATACCATTCAGTGCATTGGGCAGGAAATGCGAAGTTCCCCATGGCAGTGATGCAGAGGATGGCTTGAATCGCCCAATATCTCCACCTGGCTCATTGCTCCTTCCTGAAAGAGTATATCTCGTGATTTGCTTTCTACCTTCCTAGCTTTCTTAACTACCCTCATGAGTTTATTCTTATTGCATGTTAGCTTGCCAAACCAAGCAGCTACTAAGAAACATATTATGAACTATACAATCGACTTACAGAATATGGTAAGAATTCCCTCCTTGCGCGTTCATTATAAAAATAAAAATCGTAAAAAATAGAGCCTTTGATTATATAT